CAATTGTGTAACCTATTTACCAGTGTTTCTTTACTGTAGTTTCTAGTTGACCTCATTTTTATTGTCATGTGTAGGCCTATCCTATCCCTAGTGATTTTCCTGGTGCAGTAAATGATGAAATGATCACTAAGGCCTATGGTAATGACTCCTGACTGACTAATGTTCTCAGAGCGGTTACAATGTATGTGGTCAATTAGGGTGGCTGAGAACTGTGTGATCTGGGTTGGTGTATTAATTAGTTGAGTGTAACTATTTAAACCTAGAATTTGCTTATACCTTTTGCATAGCCCATTATTTTGCTGCTGAAAACAGATATTGAAGTTTCCCAGTATTATTGTCTCGCAATTGTTTTCAAGTCCAGACAAGACTCTAGAAAAGTCTTCTAAGAACTGGTCCTGGGTGGGAGGGCGGTAACTAGTTCCTAATAAGATGGGTTTGGTTTTGGGAAGCAGCACTTCAAACCATAGAATCTCCAGTTTGTTATTTAAATCAGGTCTTGGGTTGTAAGCTAAGTCATTTCTAACATAGGCACATACCCCACCATCTTTTCTGTTCCTATATGAGCATTTTATATTGTAACCTTCTATTCTGGCCTCGTCGTCAGTCACCGTATCATCCAACCAGGATTCAGAGATGGATAAAACTGCCGCCCTTGTTCTGTTAGCTAAAATCCTAATCTCTGCCAATTTTGGAAAAAGTGTTCTTGCGTTGACTTGAATAAAGTGATGGCCTGTTTTCATAAAACAATTATAATCGTCAATATATGGCAATGGGTCATTTGTATTAAAATTAGGTAAATCAGTGTCATCATTGCTAAAGGGTAACTGTGCCGAAGTGCATTTGTTACACACAAAATGAATTCTGGCACCATTACTATAACTGTACACACATCCATTATGCACCAACCCCTTACACATTTTACATAAGGTGCCTTTTCTGTTCTTCTTTCGTACTTTAGTGCACTGTAGGCACCTGTTTGGTGGTGTTTGAGATAATAAAAATGGCTGTATTGTCTCACATTGGCCTATGTATGCATTACATGTGGAGTTAAGGTTATCATTCCTAGCTACTAGACCATTATTAACACTGTCATCTGTCTGTCTTTTGCCTCTGCACAATAGTTTGAGGTCCTGGATTAATTTGGATATCACCACTTAAGAGCGCTACAATAAGAGCTGTGTGCCACTGTTTTTCTTCGGGTATGCGGTGTTGCCATACCTTGTGGCAATAGTGACATTTATGTTTCTGGTTGAATGACAACTGTTGGGCTTTTACTGTCCAGGGTGTTATTACCCCATTCGCCTTTTCCAGCCCCCATGACTGATTTCCTTCTTCACGGAATTGCAGCAGAAAGATAAATATAATTATGGCAGCCTGTACATCCCCCCTAATGCCTGCCATTTTCACTCTTCACTCTTTTAATCATACACAACAATATTTATTTCTCTTTTCCAGTCACCTAGCAAACCCTAGTAACTGCTCTAGCAGTCACCACTGATTATTAGTAAATTTCCTGGTATCTACTTCAAAACCCTCTTCACTCTTCGCTTACCCCTTTACTTCACAAACCCCTTTCATTTATCCCCTTATTTTACCCCACCCCCTTCAGGCCTCGCTTCACAGTCCAGCTTCACCTATTACACTTCTAACTCATTTCCATTCTGGCAGGACCAGAAAGTTTTAATCAGTGGCTTTATCCGTCCAAATTCCCCTCAATTCTATTTATCGGGGCTGTGTCGTGTTGACTGCCTGACCTGGTCTGCTGTTTCAGCCATTTTTAAAAACACTGAGGGAAGAAAATGCCACCAACAACCTGACTTCTCTTTAGTTTTATAGATAGATTTGGCATTTTCTCCTATGATTCTCTCACTGTACACTGGTCAGCTGAATATAGGTCAGCTACTAAAACATTAACCTCGGCTGTATAACTATTCACTTCTCTCCCACGATTGGCACTGAGAGATAACTGTCATATGATAGTTTCGTTGGAGTTTTGTATTGTAGATTTTGATGTCTCCTGTGTTTCCCTCTCATTAACAGTGGTACAGGTAATATGATGGTGGTGCACTCGATATGATGCTACTGTCACTATAGAAAAATGTCAGTATACATGAGAACTTGACCTTGCTAGTTGTACATTTGGCAGTAGCTGGTGTTTGGATGCCAGTCAGCCATGTTTAAATGCTCAATTCCTTCCCTCCTTTGGCACTGAGGGAAAAAGGTCCTACAGACCTGTCATTTCCTTGGAGTTTTGTTAGGTTTTCTGCCATGTTGTCTTCCCATTGAACACTGGTGCAGTTGATATGGAGGTCAGTTATTTCAGTGTAGTGGAAAACGTCTGGTGTCTGGTTCACGTCTGGCATTACGTCTGGTACTTGAATGCCGATCCCTCTTTTGGTCATATTTAGTCCATTTCATTGTTGTCACCATTAGTTTTCATGTCGCTACAGGTTCCTTGCATGTTGCAGCAGTACTTGCAATTAGGCCATCACTGGAGTTCAGATAGGCCCAGGGGAAGGCAAGATATAAGATCAGCTTTGTTGCTGCTTGCTGCCACTCAGGCAGTGGGTGCAGGCAATGTACTTCCCATCTCCAGGACTTGTCCAACTAACAGGTCTCCACAAATTACTTCTTAAATTATCTTGCTCACATACCAACAGCACATCAAATTATAAAAAACCCATTTATCTCCACTCTTCTCCAATACGCTCACAGATGCCTGTTGGATGTCTTAACCTCTAGCAATCATAACTTCCTTTACCCCCTCTCTCCAACCTTTTCTAGGATGATTCCTAAACCCCCTCCTCTATGCCCAAGATTTATATGCTCTCCTAGTCATTCTGTTTTTCTTCATCTTCTCAAAATGTCCATATCACCTCAACCCCTCAGCCCTCTGAATAACACTTCTGGTAACTCACACCATCCCAAATATTGCTGATCTGATTAGTATTGATTTTCATTCAAAATAATAACCAAAATAAAAAAAAACTGACATGGAAAAGCCATTGAGCCAGACAAAACTTGGGTTAATATAAAATATTAGCCAGTTGTCCATTAATAATAACATGGAATAATCAAAATCCACAAGTATGTAAATCCGTAAATTTGCAGAGATGACTGTGGCTCTGTACCTATGCTTCATTTTTTCTGTCCAAGTGATCTTTATTTTCAAGCCTTTTTCCTTTTAAAATGTCAGTCATATTCCATGATAGGATGACAAAAAAAAATAATTTATTCAATGGCTGTGGAAACATAAACACGTATGCAGTTTAATGTGATCCTTTATTAGCAACGTTTCGCCCACACAGTGGGCTTTTTCAAGTCACAACAGATCTACCTGGGGTGGAAGGTACGTGAGTATTTATAGTCAGGTTCAGAATGTTGAGGTCAGGTGGAGAATGCTGCATCTGATGATCTACCGGGTGGGGTTAGAGTCTAAAATCTTGGGTAGCTTGGCAGGGGTATTGGACAAGTTGTGAGCAGACCTTCTCGTCACTTCATCAGAGACTGCAGACGGCAGGCATTAAACATCTTCAACACACCCAGAGAAGGCACTGCCGAGAAGAGATACATAGTCCTCCCCACCAACTCCATTGCCAAACATGTTTCCAACATCTTTTCCAATACATCATTCCAAGTATCTACCTCTACAACCACGACCATCAAGGACATCACCAGTAGTAGACAGGACAAGCTTCTATCCTCTGCAGGGGTATACATAATCCCTTGTAATGACTGCAACAAATTATACGTGGGCGAAATATCAAGAGACCTCCAAACACGTATTTCAGAACACCAATACGCAAGCAGGACTGATGATACAAGGAATGCCTGTGTACAACATCGCAATTCACACAACCATTTAATTAACTACAGAAACTCGAGACTTATCGCCACAGAAGACAACACTCAATACCGAAGAATCCTGGAATCATCACTTGTCTCTATAACCAACAATTTCAACCGGAACAGTGGCTTCTATAACATAGCTGAACCACTTGCCAAGAAACTTCATCGCTATCCCACATAAGAACATAGAACACTGCAGAAGGTCTGCTCACAATTTGTCCAATACCCCTGCCAAGCTACCCAAGATTTTAGACTCTATAACCCCACCTGGTAGATCATCAGATGCAGCATTCTCCACCTGACCTCAACATTCTGAACCTGACTATAAATACTCACGTACCTTCCACCCCAGGTAGATCTGTTTGTGACTTGAAAAAGCCCACTGTGTGGGCGAAACGTTGTCAATAAAGGATCACATTAAACTGCACATGTGTTTGTTTCAATGTGTCTGTATTTTATACCATTTATTTTCATTCATTGGCTGTCTTGCCACAAGTGCACACTCATGATTCAAATGGCCTTTTGTGACAACATCTCCACCCCTTCCTTCAGAGGACAGGCACTTTACTTCCCACCTCCAGGATTCTAGGCTGCCTAGTCAGTTTCCCTAAATCCCTTCATAAATGTTAAATTCTCACTCTCTAGCAGCATGTCAGGCCATAAAATCCATTTGCCTCCCCTTTCTCCAATCCATTAGTCACTGAAGTCTGTTGGATTCTTGAGCCTCTAGCACTCAAAACTTGCTTCTTCCCTCTAACCCTACCTGGGATGACCCTATCCCTCCTTCCCTCCACCCCAGTTTTATACAGCCTCAATGTTTTACCTTTCTGCTTCATCCTCTCTAAATTTCCAAACCACCTTAACAACCCCACATCATTCCTCTGAATTATACCTTATCCTATAAAGTGCTAAACTGATTCTTTCAGGACCCTGCTGGTAATTTTTCGGACGTGCAAACTGTATGTTCTTGTCTATGTACTTGCACATACACTAGGGATATGCCAAAGTATTGGTATTGGTTAATTTTGATGGTGCCAGTGGGTATCTGCTAATTTTGATGGTATTAGTACCAGCAAAAGTAATTTGGTATTATCCCATCCTTAACATACACACACTTTAACTTGCATGTACTTAAAATGTTCTTATTTCAGGTGCCATGATAGAAATTGAACCAACTGAAGGATTGATGTTTAGTAATTGTCGCATTGGTGCCACAGCAAATATAGTACTGACCAACCCTGCCAGTACCCACGTAGCTTTTAAGGTAAACTCTCCAAATATATTATTGCCAATTTTGCACCCTGGATGAGATCAGGCTGGCTTTTCAAATGTATACAGTAGGGCCCCACTTTACGGCGTTTCGCTTTACGGCATTCCGCTAATACGGTCATTTCAAATTATGACCAAAACTCGCTATACGGCTCCCCCCACCTGACTTTCTAATACGGTCACCGCGCCCCACCCGGTTTGTTTACATTCTCTGAGAGATCCATAAGCACAAAGTCTCTCCAGTTTGTCTGGAAACTCCAAAATTTCAAGAGTTTTTAAAAGTTATTTCATAGTTTATATATACTCTGATAATTATACTTATGTATACCTGTACCTAAATAAACTTACACACTGTGCTGGCGTGCAGGTACACATTAAAATCAGTAAGAGTGTCTTGTGTCTCCAGACATCATATTAGTAATGATAATAATCATCGAGTCTCATTTAAATGTCGTATATTACGTTAATATACACATTTTCATTAATCCATCTATGATATTTTTTTCAAAATTATATAATAAACACGATGCATAACATATAAAGATGATAAATACACCCCACAGTAGAATAAATAAACATAAATATGAGATGTGGTAGCAGACAACTTGCGTAAATGACACCATATGAGAAATGATAATGATAATAATACATAATAATAATACATAATAATAATAATAATAATAATAATAATTACCGAGTCTCATTAAATGTTGTATATACACATTGTATATACACATTTTCATTAATCCATCCATGATATTTTTTTCAAAATTACAGTGGACCCCTGCATAACGATTACCTCCGAATGCGACCAATTATGTAAGTGTATTTATGTAAGTGCGTTTGTACGTGTATGTTTGGGGGTCTGAAATGGACTAATCTACTTCACAATATTTCTTATGGGAACAAATTCGGTCAGTACTGGCACCTGAACATACTTCTGGAGTGAAAAAATATCGTTAACCGGGGGTCCACTGTATATAATAAACATGATACATAACATATAAAGATGATAAATACACCCCACAATAGAATAAATAAACATAAATGAGATGTGGTAGCCAGATAACATTTTCTTTAATCTAACATAAGAGTAAATGTGTTACTGGGGGTAACTGTAGAAAATTATTCCTTTCGTATGTATGCAAGTTTATTCAGGTATATACAAATACAGTTACATGGATTATCATACATAACAGCATAAGTAAGTAAGTAAGTAAGTAAAGTAAGTAAGTAAATTTATTCAGGTATACACAATACAGTTACATAGAATTATCATACATAGCAGCATATGTGTAGAGTACCTAGGATAACCCAAAAAAGTCAAAGTGACTTATTTCCATTGCCTTAAATCAGAGCATCATTTCTTCTCAAAATGATGTTACATGAGAATGGGAGTTTTCTTCTTTATTTATTTTACCGTATCAGTGTAGAGACAACCTGTACACAATGTAACTTGTACACAAACCAGACGTGTACACTTCGTTTGTTTACAAAACTTGCCTTCGCCTGGTTTGTTTACATAACTCTGCGCCTGTCCTCTTTCATGTACTCATTCTTTCTCTCTCTCATTTATTCATTTTATTTCATTTACTTACTCCTGACCCTACATTAAGACTACAAATATTTTAAGGTAAGTAATGAGTGAACCGTATATACATTTTATCGCTCTGGGATGCTTAAATATCATAGAATAGTATGTGTGGGTGGGTTGGCCTGGTATGGTAGCCCGGCTGACTACCATACATACCACACTTGATTTCTTACAATAAATACTACTCATCTCACCCTAGATTAAGACTATAAATATTTTAAGGTAAGTAATGAGTGCACTATGTGTGTATTGTACTTTTTTATTGTTTTTTGATGCCTAGTTCTATTGCTAACTTTATATGTTAGTGTAAACTTATCTAGTATTTGTATGCATTTATAAGTGGGAAAAAAGGGTGTTCCACTTTACGGTGATTTCCGCTTTACAGCGGTAGCCTGGAACCTATCCTGCCGTTTAAGTGGGGCCCTACTGTACTTGAATTTTGTTAGCATTTCAAAAGTATGAATAGTATATCAGAAAATTGTGTTAAAGATTGTCTGTTTTTGTATAACATTGGGGTCACATTCTGTATTTGTTCCTTTTTTATTTTGTATTTTTCAGTACAGTTCTTGTAAATCATTTTAAAGGAAATGCTTCTTAAATGCCTTTTTGAAGTTCTGTTTTTTCATTAACATTTGTGATTATCATTATATTCTTAAATGATAACACTGTGATTTTTCTTCTCTGTAACCTATGTTTAACCCTTTTGAGGCCCCTGCTGTAGTGCTATGGCTTTGAGCTCAGGATCAGTGCTGTAGTACCACATGATGAGCTCGGCTCACTCAGGTAAGCTGTGAGCAGTAAATTTGGGCCTAGCTATGCAATGAGTGTTCACCATATTAAAAAAAAAATCCTGCCCCACTTGTTGCATGATGGATAAAACTATCCATGTACAGTGGAACCTCAGTTTTCGTCTTTAATTCGTTCCAGAGAGTCTGACGAAAACCGAATTCACCGAAAACTGAAGCAACATTTCCCATAAGAAATAATATAAATCCAATTAATCCATTCCAGACACCCAAAAATATTAACATAAATACATTTTATAGAGAATAACTATAGTTTTACATATAGAAATAAATATAAAGCACTAATGAAATGGATAAATGAACATTTAAATCACTTGTACCTTTACTGAAGACTCTTGTTGCCATATGTAAGACGGCGAGGAGGGGAGAGGGAGGAGAGGTTATCTCTACCACCATCACTACCACCCTCTACTACCATAATTACCACCCTCTACCACCATTACAACCACCCCTTACCACCATCCTCTACCATCCTCTATCACCATCACAACCACTACCGCCCTCTACCACCATTGAGTTCTATCGTGTTTCTTGCCTTCTTTATCAAAGGGCTGGCACTCAGAACTTTCTTTGGCCCCATGGTGGCTTATTTAGCGGTCGCACTCAATAAGCGAGCACAAAAAACTTTGGATTATTACGAGATGTTTTGTATAAATGCACAGGGTAATGTTCACTTGATGAGTAACAGAGCCAGACTGACTCAGAATGCATGTGTGGGATGCTTTGTGTGGGCGCAGGCAGACGGACACGTTCAGTACAGTGGAGCAAAACAGAGGTGATGAATGAAAACTGGGACAATATTTTGATGAAAAAAGTCATTGAAAACGGTATTCGACGAAAACCAGGGCAAACGAAAACGGAGGTTCCACTGTACAGTGGACCCCCGCATAACGATCACCTCCAAATGCGACCAATTATGTAAGTGTATTTATGTAAGTGCGTTTGTACGTGTATGTTTGGGGGTCTGAAATTGACTAATCTACTTCACGATATTCCTTATGGGAAAAAATTCGGTCAGTACTGGCACCTGAACATACTACTGGAATGAAAAAAGTTCGTTAACTGGGGGTCCACTGTATTTGGTTTAAAATAGCAACTTTGCATTTTATTATCAGATGGTTTATATGGTTGGTATCATTTGATAGAATGTAAGATATATTGCAGAAACAGATATGATTTTAATTGGTTTCAGGACTGGAAGTAGCTTGAAACTGAGCTCAAAGTAGTGAAAAGGTTCAATTTTTGCCCGATATTCCAGAGGAAAGCAAATTACATAACTCGTCCAATACTCATCCAGCTGGTTGGTCTAATATATGGTCATGAATGTGCTGACACTATTTATACAATTATAATAATGCAGTATTCTGCTTAACAGTAAAGTTTTTTTTTTTTTTTTTTTTTTTTTTTTTTTTGTGTGTGTAAATAAAAATACCAAATGGAAAGAAAATGTAATATAAGAGACCTGGGGCCATAACTAATGAACAGAGGAAATGTTTTAGCACCAGAAATGTCTACATTGTTTATTCTGGACTTCATTTCTAAACAGTTTTTTAATTTTGTGTGAAATTGGCCAAATTAGCTATTTTTGATCACTTGGATAGTTGAAATAGTTAAATGGGCGGGTTCTTGTACTCGGGCAATAGAATGGAAGGCATACAAGCGAAATAGCTAATAATTTGGTCAACTGGAACAATGGAATTGGCCTAAAATAGGACTCGGTGGGCAAAATCGATTATGCATAAACATCACAGAGAACACTAACTTTCAGAAACAGTAATTCCGTAAGTTTTTCTATCAAATTTCACACTTTTGGTGTCATTACTTTTTACATTACTGGTTTCAGAATTTAATACCACTTAGTGATGACAGACTGCAGCATATGCATGTTGTCAGGCATGTGGTTAAGCATTTCCATCACTAGCCCAAGAACAGAATGGATGCATCTCTGATGAATGTGTTTCATCTGAAAATTTGTAGTCAATTGTCAATTTCTCAAATTCATAACCCAAGTAAGGGTTTGGATACAAGAAACTTTAATTTGCATCATTTTCTCTTGACCCTTTCAGGGTTTCCGACGTACTAGTACGGCTTACGCACCAGGGTTATTGACGTACTAGTACGCATAAATTCTGGCGCCTTGAAATTGAGCAGGAGAGAACTGATAAGTGTACATGTGATAGAATGGGTCTGTGGTAAGTGTGCGCAGTAGGAAAAAAATCTGTGCACCCGCATTGCATTGTGGGAGTGGTAATTCAGTGCACCTTTGCAACTAAGCCAAGCTAAGGAATACCTCACTCTCCAGCAGCCTGAGTGGTGGGGATAGGCAATAAGGGGGGGTGGGAGGCAGTGGGAGTAGTAGGAAAGTGAGTTGGCTGGGCTAACTGGCTGGCTGGCTGGATAACTGGCTGGACAACTGGCTGGCTGGCTGGCTAACTGGCTGGCTAACTGGCTGGCTAACTGGCTGGCTGGCTGGATAACTGGCTGGCTGGATAACTGGTTGGCTGGATAACTGGTTGGCTGGATAACTGGTTGGCTGGATAACTGGCTGGCTGGATAACTGGTTGGCTGGATAACTGGTTGGCTGGCTCTGTGTGT